CCCTGGCGATGGTTCGCCTCGCCGTAGCAGGCTTGCGCAACAACTTCTGGCACGACGCCGCCCGGTGGTCAGATGCTCGACAATAGGAGCAGGGAGGCGCCTCCCGGGCCGCTAGGCCACTATAGGAGGGTAGGGGGGGCGCCCTCCCGCGGGGGCTCCGCTCGGCCTCAGGGGGGTGGGTGCCGCCTTGGCCGGCTAATTCCGCCTCTCCCTGGGCACCGCTCGGCAGGGGGCGGGGGGGCCCTCGACGGCGCCTGCTGCGTTCTCCAACTGCCTACACTGCTCCTCCAGGAACCGCAGCAGGTCCCTAAAGGGGGGAATATACGAGGCGCCATCCCCTCCGTACCTCTCCTCAAAATGGAGCCGAAGGTCGAGGGGCAGGCGGGACGGCACTATATGAAGAAGCAAAAAAGACCACTCGTCCACAGGTAAATCCAGCCGCCGCAACGAGTTGCACGCTACGACGACTGGATTCACTATGTCTTCACGTGGTCTAGTCCGGTCCTTCAGCAGCGGGAGGTTCAGCAGCCTCCGAACATGATCGTCCGCAATCCGCCGGACGTTGGCGTACCTTCCAGCGAGGAGGTCCCTGGCGTTTTGGTAGGCGTCGTCAGACAACTTAAGGTGGTCGACGACGCCCAGGGCCTCCCCCTCCAGTGATGCCAGGAGGTACCCCATTTTTTGGCAGGGGGTCAAGTCCCTCCGGGTGTCCACCAGGCTGTCAAACATACCGACGCAGGTCAGCCATTCCGAGAGGACCCCGGAGAACCTTAGCAGGTCCAGCGTGGGGAGTCGTCCTAGCAGCTCTGGCTGAGTGGGCGGCTTCCGCGGGGACTCGAGCAGGCAACTCAGCCGAGCTTCGCGCTCCTTCTCCGCGTCCTTGGCCCCCGCCTCGATCAAGTCGTCCGTGAGCGCGAGGAACTGCTCGTAGTCCGCGCGGCAGGAGTCCAGGACTCCCTTTTCCACCTCCGAGTCCTCGAGCTCAGAGTAAGCCTCCTCCACGGCAGCCCTTCGAGCATCGACCTGCTCGAGCCTCTTCCTCAGATTATAAGCCCTATCCGGTCGGCCGATCAACGCGTGTGCGCTGGTAGCCCAGCGCAGCTCAGTCCGCAAGCAACGAATTAGTAGCTTATGTAACGGCATCCCTACTAAATACAATAACAAAATAACAGAAATAACAAATACAGTTCCTATCAATCAAGTTACACAATTATTAATCGAGTTAGATAGAAATTACACAATTATTAAATACAAGTTAATACGAAAAAACACAAATCAAATTAGCACGTAACAACCCTAGTACGATCAACAAATTATCCCATTACGTGACAGCCTTATGTACCTAATCAAAATACTTCGCCTCAACAATTCTCGCTTGTTAACCTACGGGCATGGCGTTAGCAAACTACCTCCTAACAACAAAAAAAGGCGAGCCACAATGCAACAAAGAAAGAATTATTATTTATATTAATTATTATTATATTAATTTTACGTATTACGGCCGGGCGTGATTGTAGACACAATCAACCACGCCTCTGCTACCAAATGTTACGGCGTGCAGCTGCCTATCTAATGGTAGGATCCTCCTAGGCCCATTGTCAGAAGAACCTACAGGCAGATGCAGGTCGGGCCTTTAAGGCCAAGGTGGAAGTTCTCTAATTAAAATAAACGAGGGGGAAAGATCAGTAAGAGAAAGGCACTTACCTGCCTCAGGAGCGGAGACGGTTCACCAGGACCGGCCCGGCTGATGGCAGTGTCGTGAATGTATGTGTGTTTGTATGGATATGTGTGTGTACGTGGCCTGGTCTAGATGACACAATGCCGTCCTAGAGAAGGTATCCGCTGGTAGTCTCGGAACTATTCCCCTCTTGAGGCACTCTTTCTGTTTTGTCACGCAATGGTACAGCTAAACGTAGAACTTCAGAGGTAAATCACTATAGGAGTTGCACAATTAATTTAACAGAAGTTAATAAGTCCTAAAGAACAATACGTGTTCCCACAACGATTTACGCGGGTTGATACCTTCGTAACAAAATTAGGCGCGAAAAACAGACGTCAGTATAGATCGCAAGAACTTTACAATGAATGTCGAGAAGTCCGTCCGATACCGCTGCGGAATGCGGCCGGGTGGGGGGCGGGTGACCTTGCTGTCGAGGCTACGCGCGCACGTTAAAGAATACGTTTCAAAGGTATAATATTATTGCCTAAACAGGACCTATAGAGGCACCCCTAGACGCGCGGATGATCATCGCTGTCTACGCGTAGCCAAAGGATGGACAGGTCCGAACCTTCAAGACTGCCGAGGCGTCGAGAACAGATGTCCTCTCTAACGTATACGCAAACTCCAGCCCGAGGCACAAAGGAGTGCTCCAATTTGTACCCCGGGTAGGAGAGATACAAAGTATCAGCCGGAGAGGACACCTGAGTCTCGGTTAAAAAGAGCAAGGCCGGCTTCGCCGTCTCTAGATGGTAATGGACAGCGTTAAGGTTGGAATGAAGTCCCCTGATGTTGCAAAAATTCACGGATAGCGTGACAGGGGTCGCCTTGGTTGTATTGCTCCGCTTGCCCCGAGCAGCATTAGTCGCGAGCGGAATTTTGCCCCCCCCCCCCCCCCCCCAGAATACGCGGGGCAGCATGAGCACCCACGCTCAGGAGTGAAGTAGTTTGGTCGTGGATACCTCAGCGAGGGATTCTCCAGGGGTGCTGGTACCCTCCTGGTGTAGTCTTTTATTTAATTCCACTACCATGTTGATGGGGGGGGGGGGAATTGGGCATCCGGCCACCTGCACTTACCAAGCGCGACGCAGAGGTAAACCTCTACTTCACGCTGGTATTATGTGAGGTCGTGGTACCACCCCGGTTCGAGCTGGCCCAAACGTGCGACAGCAAAAGCTACCGCTTAGCTCTACCACTGTTAGATTATATGCAGGATTTTCTTCATGTAATTGTTTAATGTGATCCCATTTAGCAGTCTTTTCTATATTATCACTTGTTCTCCAGGGGTGATGGTACCCTCCTGGTGTAGTCTTTTATTTAATTCCACTACCATGTTGATGGGGGGGGGGGGGGGGGGGGAATTGGGCATCCGGCCACCTGCACTTACCAAGCGCGACGCAGAGGTAAACCTCTACTTCACGCTGGTATTCTGTGAGGTCGTGGTACCACCCCGGTTCGAGCTGGCCCAAACGTGCGACAGCAAAAGCTACCGCTTAGCTCTACCACTGTTAGATTATATGCAGGATTTTCTTCATGTAATTGTTTAATGTGATCCCATTTAGCAGTCTTTTCTATATTATCACTTGTATACCTTAAATTCTTCTCTTAAAGATTATTTCGTATACCTTTTAACAAGTGTGGGGGATCATATAGTAGAACAATTTTATTGTCATTAATTATTATTCTCCTCTTCAATCCTTTTCAGTCTGGTTTCCGTCCACTGCACAGTACTTCCACGGCCTTAATTAAAATAACTGATGATAACCGCTTTGCGATGGATAATCGTCAACTTACTCTTCTTGTCCTCCTAGACTTCAGTAACGTGTTTAATTGTGTTGACCACGACATTCTGTTAGCAGTTCTAAAATCCCTGAATTTAACATCATCAGTTGTACAATGGTTCAGTTCCTATCTTCGGGGACGCCGGCAACGCATTCGTGTTGATGATAAGTTCTCCGACTGGTGTAACGTTGTTGCTGGTGTTCCTCAAGGCGGTGTTTTATCTCCGTTGCTTTTTTCTGTGTTTATCAGGGCACTTGTTTCCGTAATAAATTTCAGCAAGTATCACCTGTACGCAGATGATGTCCAGCTGTATCAGCATTTTAGTGTAAATGACCTAAATGCATCTGTTGACAAAATGAATTTGGATCTTGCTGCAGTTCATCAGTGGGCAAGCTGTCATGGACTAATATTAAATCCTGCCAAAACACAGGTTATAATCATAGGCAGCAGAAAAATTACATGCCGACTCGACTATCAACATCTGCCTAAGGTTATTCTAACCGGTGTTGATTTAGAATATGCTAGGCAGGTTAAAAACCTCGGCTTAATTTTGGCTCACGACCTAAGCTGGGTGTCACAAGTTAGTGAGGTCCGGAAACGAATTTTTAGCACAATGCATTCATTAAAGCTCTGGCAAAAGTTTATCCCTCAGACGGCCAAGGTTACGTTAGTCAACACTCTGTTGCTTCCTATTTTAGATTATGCTGATATTGCTTATCCAGATATAACTGAGGAACTGCTTAGCAAACTCGACCGTCTGCTCAATTTGTGCATACGCTATATTTTTGGCCTGCGCAAGTTTGATCATATATCACAATCTCGCTCAAGACTTAAGTGACTCGACATCCGTTTTCGCCGGAACACACACCTTCTAACCACTTTGTATGGTATTCTTTACAATCCTTGTTCCCCAGCTTATCTGAAAAAGCGTTTTTCATACTTAAGCTTATCCCGTTCGATGTCCAATAAAACTCTAACTATCCCGTTGCATAAATCTACATACTACTCAGATTCCTTTACGGTATCATCAATTACACTTTGGAATAACCTTCCACGAGATATAAAAGATGCTCCCTCAATAAATTCATTTAAACGTAAGGTTGAGGCACATTATTTAAAATTACTTGATTAATATTATTGGTTTATATAATATTATATTTTCTTATACTAGATTGTATGTATTTTATTGGTATAGTATGTATTTTTGTTTATATGTATATATACATTTATATATATGTATATATGTGTGTGTATGAAGTGTCAATATATATAAAGTAACATATTTATATAATATTATATTATTGAATAATATGTGAAGTTAGTTTCTAAAGTAAGTTAGTTTTTTTTTCCCTCTGTTGCGGCTCTACCCATAACTCTCACCACACTACCAAAGGTTAGCTGGCAGAGAATGCCTTTTTGGCATTAAGTTCGCCTTTGTACCAAATGTTTGTTTGTTTGAGTGCAATAAAGAATTTTCTATCTATCTATCTATCTATTCTATCTATCTATCTATTATTAATTTCGTCTCTTCTCTAACTTCTTGTCCACTTTTAAGCATATGTACCCTGGTTTCATTTAGGAGAAGATTTAAGGCATTTCTATTATTAGTGCCTTGGTCACATACTGTAGCCACTACATTGAAGCCAGTTTCTTGCAAGTTTTCAAATATTGTTTTAATTTGCAAAGACAGCTCTGGGCCTTTAGTGGCCGCATGTGCAAATGTATAAGCAACAGGTTGTTTATATTTCCTTATGAGACCCCTGATCATAAAAACCTGTGCATGGTCTGCAAATTCAGGTTTTGTCTCGCGTCCATTATTAACAAAACCTACCACCAAATCTTTTCTTTCGTATGTAATGTTAGCTTTTAGTAACATTTCATCAAACATTAATATGCAGAGTTTGTCTGCTGGCTTCATTTCGTTTGCTCTTGCTTTAAGTTGAGCAAAGACATTATTGTTAATACCAGGCTTTATATTAACCTGGTTCAAAAATGTTGACAGTATTTGCTGCGAAGGCAAAACTAACATTCTTCACAGAAAGCGATAAGCTTTCGGGCTTTGCTTCAGCATTGCCAAAGCTAATATTTTTTCTTCAGTAGAAAATCTTCTCCCTTTTTCTTTCTTTTTATATTCTCTGAACTGTAACATAGTTAAAATGTTAACAGCACTTGGCAAATTGTTAACAGTAGCTATAAAGTTGCTACTCTTCATAAAATTTTTGGCTTCTTTTAATTGTAATTGTGGCGGGTGGAAGGAAAAGGGGAGATCTCCAGCCAGGTAAGGTGTTCTGACCGGGGAGCGGCCAACGCTCCAATTGGTAGTTCAGAGCTATTCTATATATATTGCATTAATTTCGGAACTTTGTTAGCGCGATTTAGGCTTCGATGTGTTTCGCTTGTGGCGCGACGACAGCGCCGCCACATCACCCCCCTGCTCACCGGAGGTCGATAGTGCAGTTTAGATGTCGACGAATTTGCAAGTGCCAGGGAATTGCCTTGTAGTCTGCGGTGAGTCGAGAAGAAGGTAAGTAACCTGCGAGAGTGCCGTGAAACAGAGGCGAGCAGTAAGGCTCAGAGCCGTGCCGAACACTGTAGCGCAGAGAGTAGCTTGAAGGAACAGGAAGCATTATTATTCCAGTACTGCGATGAACCTTTGTAAAGCTAGATGGCTTGCAGAATGGGAAGACTGCAGACGATATCTGCTCGGGAGCGAATGAATGGGGTACTTGAGGATGATGACAAAGATTTGAAGTTGTAGTTTCCGAAGGTTGTTGGTTGCGTGTTCATATCACGTCGGGGTCACCACTGTGGCCGGTGGAAGGAAAAGGGGGTCTCCCGCCGGGCAAGGTGTTCTACCCGGGGAGCGGCCAACGCTCCAATTGGTAGTTCGGAGCTATTCTATATATATTGCTTTAATTTCGGAACTTTGTTAGCGCGATTTAGTTACTTCACACAAAAGTGACATGTATGTTAACAAAATTTGCTCCAAATGCTTTTGAAATCGGCTCAGGCTATCCTGCTTATAGTAAAACAAAAGGTGAAAAAATAAGAAAAGCAACCTGAAGCCTTATAAATACATAATTATTAATTAGCACATGCTTTGGCTAAGCATTATTCCAGTCACTGTGGTACAATTGTCACACTACAAGTGCAAAGTAGACACTGGAATATTCTAGTTTATATACATATTAAATCAAATATAATAATAAGTAACATATGAATCTCGCCCTTATTTATCGAAATCTTAAGTGTAACAAATATTGTCTTCCATTTAAAATTCCAATTCCAATATTTTGAAAAGGAACAGGCCAATTGTGATGAAACTTTTGACACATCAAAATGCCAAATTATAGTAAATGTAAACACACTTTTTTAATTTAATTTTAATTATGTTCAGAAATGGCAATAACATAACCCTTAAGACACACATACAAAAGTTTATCAAGCTACTAATGTGGTTATATTATTAATAAAACAAATTATATATATAATTATGTTACAGTCAAATCTCTTCTGGTCAAAAAAGCTTTGGACTGGTTTTAGTCAAAACCATGATTAAGTTAAAATGTATTTATTCTATTAAAACATTTGAGTTATCTTTAATAACTATGTAAGTACAAAATAAGTTTCTAGACAGGTTACAATAAAAACCTACCAACCTAATAAATTCAGCATGGGATAGTATAATATTTCTAAACTGTATTTATTGATGAAAAATAGTTTTGACTGATTTTGCTGTCACAATTGGTTTTGATTTCATCAGTCAAAACCAATTTTCTATGCACATTCAAATAAATATGCTTACTATTTAATACTTATATATTATTTTATATGTACTTTTAAATTATGTGTGGGCTGGTAAATCTATGTAGTATAACTAACTATATAGCTACATAGTGCACCTACCTGGCATAAGTAATGATGGTACGACTATGTTAGAAATTCTGTTGTTACGGCAACAATATTTCTCTTCGAAATGAGCATGACATACTCGACGAAGTTTATAAATATTTTCATTACTCTGACTCACAATCTCTCCACCAATAGCATGAACCCATGTTCGGAAACGAGCAATGTCTTTTTCAGGGTTTGGAAACCAATGAAGTACTCTCTGAGAATCTGCAAAAAAGGAGTTTAAACATTACATTTACAGAAGAAAAACTTGTGTTACCTATGACATAGAATCACATCAATAAAATTATTAAAACTATTTTTCAATAAATATAATTTTATGTTAATAACTAATAATTTAAAAAAAAATGTTAATAACGTAGGTTGAAATTTAGAATCGTTTGGCAGGAGGAGGGGGCAGGGGTTGAGGGGAGGGGAAGGGGGAAGCGTCCCTTACTCCCGACACTACTCCCATTAAAAGGTAATACACAGTTCTTGAGAAAAATCAAAAATAAAATCCCATAGACCTAACCTGAAAGTAACATTTATTGTCTCCAGCAGGAGGGGGGAAGAGAGTAGCAGAAGTGTGCCCTATCAGGGAAAACCCTTCTACCTTTCCCTCGTTGCGGAAAAGTATAGTTTACGAGTAATGTATTTTTTTGTAAAATCATAACCTCACTTTTTTACACAGGAATATTGACTCAAAGTTACTTCTACAACGGCTTCGGCGCTGTGGGAAGTGCAGCCTTTTCGTAGCAAATCACAGGCACCCATGCTCACCACTACAGCTTTGGCATATTGGCCACCTTCAGTGACCAGACTCAGCCGCTATGGCTCGCACAGGTGCCTGCGATTTGCTACGGCGGGCGGGGGCTGCTCTCCCTCCGCGCCTACGGCTTTACAAAAACACTAGGAGTAGGGCAGACAAGACTACGTGGAGTCGAGGCGTGCTGGTTTAATTTTAGTACAGATTCAATCAGATCAGATATCTTATCTATAAAATCAGGTTGCCTTCGCTCCCGCCACAACCTTCTAACCTATTACAACTGAAATTATTTCTGAGTGTTCAAGTATTTCTGGGCAGTTTTAAACAATTCAGAAATAAAACAGTATATTATAATCATTTCTTTATTGTCTGTAAACATAATTTTTTTTTATTAATTCCTCAAAAGGATCTCTTTTATTCCTTATAATTTCTCTTCTCCATAAATATTCATATATCAAGTCGGTAAAATTTTCTCTGTTACGAGTATTATAGTTGTCTTTAGCGAAATATCTCTTGACAGAGAGTATAGACAGTAGAATAATGTGACACTAGTCTTATATTGTCACACTTACACAAAATTCTGTATTCTATCCAGCTTTCACAGTAATTTTTCCATGTTTTACGCATTTTAAATTATAATAGTTTTTATTTATTTTTTTGATAACGGTGCATTACCTTTTAATGTGAGTTGTATTATCATAATCCGGGACCAAATCTCTACCAATTAAAACACCTTACTCCGCCAAATTTCTAAAGATTCTAAATCCAACCCACAACGTACTATTACGTTTCTGTACGGCAGTTTACATTCACGGACAATAAGTGTTACAACAGGAGACTAAAACAGAATCTATATATGTCTTATCAATTAAACGTTATTCAGGTACTGATTTGGTGTCCGGTATGTAACCGTCTGGTTCGTACGTACCTTCGATTTCCGCACACTGAGGAACACAACAACGTTTACTTGACATGGTAGTCACTCAGGAGTACTTAACTGGCTTATAAGAGTCTCTGTCTCGGTATACTAGTACAAACACTCACTAGCTTGATGAAAACACTCGACGTAAACCCAAGGAGCAGAGGCTCAACTCAACGAATTACGGAGATTCGGGGAAGCGTTGTAAATTCTTGAATTTATCAGCAAAAACGACCGGTCGTATTAACTAATAACAGACAGAATAAATTTAAATGTTTGACAGCTTGCTTCATTGCTGCAAGTAAAAAGTACAAAATAACTACTGCGACACCTAATATGTAGTTAAATGTTTATTACAGGTTTTAAAGTATCAATTACATCAAAACTTATAGCTGTAGTAATGATTAATTTGCTATAAACAGCATTTATGATTTTATTAAATATATTACGCGTATTTCAAATTTACTTTAATAATTTGGTAGTTTATTTTATTCAAGTATAATAAAATAAACTACTGAACAAAATATTTATTTTAATAATGGTAACATTTGGCATTAATTTGATGGAGTTTAATGGTACAAGAATAAATAGTCACTTTGTCACTGAATCTGTAGTATATTACAACCTATTTTCAATTTAGTCGATTAGCGTCAGCAAGCGACATCTCTACCTAGTCAGGTCATAAATTCTGTCACATGTTTAATATAAAATAATTGAAACAAGTTTATTCATTATGTAACCATTTATATACCAAAATGAACTTAACAAAACATAGATTCTTATGACACTAAAGTTTATTCAAAATGACCTTCGTGATTTTGAATACAGGCCTTCAATCTGCGCGGCCAGTCGTCCTTCGCAGCACGAACGAGGTCCATGTCAATATCGGCGGCTGCCTTAATCAAGGATGTCTTGAGTGACTCCAAATTGGGATGAGGCTTTGAGCACGCCTTTTCCTCCAAGTGTTGCCATATCTTGTAATCTAACGGATTCAAATCTGGACTGGAGGAGGGCCAGTCTTCGTGCCGGATGAAGTCTATTTCACGCGCCGCCAGCCAGTCTTGTGTACTCTTCGTTCTATGTAATAAATATTTTAAGCCGGTAGCATTCATTGCTATGCGGATGACAGCACTGGTGATGCTCTATACACCGGCCGTGCCAATATTTCTCGGGAAAACGTCACTGAGTACCGGAACAAACTTGTGTCTGAAGTCGAGTCTTTGCTGGACAAAGTCTCGGATTGGGGGCGATTAAATCTAGTCCTGTTTAATCCTCAGAAGACACAAGTTTGCGCGTTTACCGCTAAAAGGAACCCCTTTGTCGTATCTCCTCAGTTTCAAGGTACTCCCCTTGTTGCCTCAGCCAGTATCGGAATCCTCGGCGTCGACATATCGAGTAGCGTGCAGTTTCGTGGTCACTTGGAAGAGAAGGCCAAATTGGCCTCTAAAAAGCT